CTTTGTAGGCAAAGGAGATGTTTGCATGTTCAAAAGCTAACATGCATGTTTGATTCTTGTACAACCCATGTGGGAAATCATACCAATTCCAACCACCAATTCATCTGTCTGCAACAATTTCAACAAATAAAAAGCCCCTTCCACTCTAATCGAGAATGAAGGGGAAAACAGAACAAAATATGTTCTCAAAACCCCTTTATTATTAATATTCTGTGGTGATGAGATAAAAAGAAAAAAAGAGTGAAGGATGTTGATTTAGGGGGGGTTGTGTTTTGGAAGAATATTTATTACATACTTGGAGATATTGTGACAAAATGAAACCACTAATAAAATCATTCGAATCAATAATTACAATGCTATTTTGGGCTAACTGTCAAAAGGGTGGGCCTGTGACCTAAAAAAGGAGGAGGTTTGATCAATTTACAACGCTCTTTATTGATTTAATTTGAAATGTTGGTGTATTTTATCTTGGAAAACAGCCATGAAAGATGCACCTGAAATGGGGTAACATCTCTACCCCATTAGCAAATTTGGACATATTACTCCAGGTGGTAACTCGGGCAGAAGAAAAGCTGGAAATGCAAAAGAAGAGAAGAAAGAAAGGAAGGGGAAGGATGGTTTGAGATGGGACCACCAGATGGTGTGTTAATGGGGGAGGTGACAGTGGAATGGCTGTATGAAGAAGGGGCAGATGGAAGAAAGGGAACACACACAGTTTTAGGTGCTCCAATTACAACCATTAAAAAAATTGTATCCCTTTTCTCCCTACACAGATGAGACTGTCCCTCCAGCAGCTGGGGGACTGTGTCCTCAGCTGAGGCACAGCCCTACCATTATCAGCCACACCCAGAAGCCACCAAATTTGGATTGTTTATCCTATTCCTTCCTTTCCTTCTCTCACCACCAGTCTGAGCAGCAGCACAAAGGACCAATTTTTCCTTTGTAATGAGATATTGCTTCTCTGAAACTCATAACACAACCCCATGTCAGATTCCCATGTGTCTTTGGCTCTATCAGTTAGTATCAGCAGCACAACCCTCTGGACAAAAAACAAATCAATTTTAAGTGATTAAAAATATTTTAAACCATGTCTCCAAGTACACTACAGATTGAATTTGTTTTGCAGTTTGGAGAACCAAAATTTGGCCCATCAAATTACAGATCCCAAACAGGATTCAAGCAAAAGCAGAAGAGCTAAAAGTATCACATGTTTATGCTTATGCACTTCCTACTTCCTCATCAATCAGAAAGCAAATTAATCGACAACAAGTTGTTGTAATGGAGGGAGATCATACAGAATTTTTCTTGGCATCTTGGCAAACAGATTATAATAAATGCCAATACAAGTTTTTCGAAAATGATCTGTAGAAGTTGACAAGACACAAATTTGACACCAATAAAGATTATACCCTTCCAGACACTGGAATAAATTCACCATTGTTCCTCTCTATACCAAGCTTCTTCACTCTTTTCGAGGGAAAGATTGATTCTATCACAAGATTCTAAACAACATAGACCTAACATCTCCTTTCACCACACATGTAAAAAACAATTGTATTTAACTGATACCGCTCGAGCTTTCCTCATCAATAGTACCTTCTCTGGAAACAGAGATGCATGAAAAAGCCATAAATTGCAATCTAAGGTCAAGAACCAATTATGTTGTCACTTAAAGAATTTCATTATGCAGTTATGCTCCTCCATTTGAGATGTTCAAAGAATAAAGGAATATTACCTTTCGAGCAACCATTTCAGTACTCACTGATATTTCTCATCAAAACCTTCAGAAAGAATAGCATGAGATGAGAGCATATTAGATTATATCATATATTAGCAAACCAGATTTGTGTCTAGCAGTGCAATCAGACATAGGGAACTTATTCTGACATGAAAATGCAAGATCAGAGAGAAGCTAAAAAGAACATTTATTTTAAAAGTATATTTAGTTCAAGGATGCTATTGATCAAACATCGCTTGAGCTTTTCTTAACAAATTATCTAAAGGGATAAAAAGAAATGTCCTCATCAGGGTTTCAATCAGCACAATTCACTAATTAATTGTTTCCCACCAAGCACATTCCAACATACTCGTACAGAAACTCATGCACAAATGAATGAGAATCCAATACATTATGATTGAACCACCAACGCACTAAATTTTGCCTTAGAAGAAAATGATACTTCATAAGGAATAATTCCCAATCAGCAGCATTATCTTCGTTGGTAAGAAAGTAGTCTTCAGAGTAATTTTGGAATCCACAGCTCAGGCTTCCCCACTTTTAACACAGAAATTGTCATAAAGCAACATTTCCAGGAGGTGGGACTGATATTCATAAAAGAAAATTCCTCACTGTTTGCTGATAACTTGTCTCTCTCAGCATTTGGTGACAGCTAATGCTATAATTATCAATGTATAGCCACTGTGTCTGCTTAATCAATATCTTGTTTTTCCTCATTTGTCGCTTACTTATATAAAGCACCCACCATTGGTCACTGTAATATATGCCCATGCCTTAAAAATTTGCCATCACCGCTCCCCAATATTTGGACCAGACTTCATTGCTCTACTGTAATCTAATAAACAAACTTCCCCAACCCATCGCAACCCAAAAGAAAAAAATAATAAAAAAAGCTGTATGCAGAAACTCAGCCGTATAGTATTTGACACATGCGCTTTGCATCAAAATTCAGATCAATTATCACGTTGATCAAGGATGAGATGCACACCAACCAAGCTTTTCAAATATTCTGACAATCAACAAAGGAAATATTTTAAAAGAAGAAAATCCCCGTATAAACAGAGTCTTAATGTTTATTTAAAGCTAGTTACAAACTTGTTGGATGAGCTAAACAGTTTCCCAATAAGATGATAAGTTTGATGAAAGAAAAGAGAAACAAATATAACTGATACCTCATGTGAGGGTTCTGGGCTTCTGAGCACCAGACCGAGGAAGAGCCAAGATGGCAATGAGTCCACTTGCAAAGGCTGCAAGTGCTGCCACAGCAAAAGCTGGAGAGTTTCCACCACCAAACAGCTGATCCCATGGTCCACTTCCCAGGGACACCACAACCTATTATCCGATACAATAAATAAATGAATAAAATAACTTCAAAAGGATGAAAAATAAATGGTTGGAAAGTCACTAATAGCATTTTACCATAACGTTTTCCACATGAGAGCTCATTTATTGACTGAAAATTGATTTAAGAACCAATTATTGTGATTGAACTAGCAGGTTACATATATTAGATCAAGGGATATTTTAATTTGAAAATTTTGTTAATACCAGACAATACAGTCCATCCGTTGGTAGAATATCGGATTGCAAGTATAACTGCATCCACAATATTTTCAGGACATAACATGCACTAGAGGCTAAATATTTGACTTTATTATTTAAGATCAAGCCTCGGTTTGTCACACATATATATATATATACATGAAAAAGAAAAGAAAAGAAAAGAAAAGAAAAGAAAAGAAAAGTAGAGTGCAATCTCAAACAAGCTCGAGTCTTCAGAATGTCTCACGCAATTACGTCTCTCAACACAGCACCCAGCCCCACCCTGCTCTTCTGTTCTGAGGCAGACAGAAGCACAACGTATGGGACCAAGAAAATAAACGGCTTTGTGAGACACGATTATTCTGCAGAACGCTAAACTGGTTTTACCTTTTAGTCACAGAAACCTAGACCATCATAATTATGACAAAACTCTATCTATCCCTTCCTCAAAATTTAGATTATAAAATGCACAGTTCACCCAGAAAATTGAGATACCCATCACAACACAGCAAAAGATTTCAATTGAGATCTCAATTTTTGTATTATACATGACTTTTAGCTCTAAAGAGAAGACCCCTTCATATAAAAAGCAAAGTTGAATGATATATGTATAGGTAGAATATATGGCTTCCAGAAATACCATTTCTGTTTTGTTTTTTTTCAAACAAGCATGGAATTGAAATTAAAGTGAATAGAATAATTATATCAAGCAACAGATTCTCAAAAGAAGAAGAGAAAGAAATTAGAAAAAGAAAAGAAAAAAAAAATCCACCAACCATGAGGCACATGTTTATGAAAAGAGAAAAATGTTCAACTTATGCTTCCTTGTTAAAGGTTAAAATCTTTTACTGCCATGGCCCTCAAAGTCCACCATATCTTCAGATCAAAATATGTTTCTGACAATGTTACCTAAGGCAACAGCCAAATCTTTCGGCTGGATTGAATCCTACAGGGAGGTCCACTAGCGATCAAAAAAGTTTTGAAGAAAAAACAAAATATTTTGTCAAATTATCTCATTTATATTATCATCCATTACATGTTGAAAAGTGAATGCAGGACTTTCGATATGGACAAACTCTAATCCTCTCCCTGCGATTTCTTCCAAATGGAAATGTATTTCATCTGCATCCCCTAAAATATTTTCCCCAGACAAAAAGTGAACTGGCTAACAGCCTACAGGGATATCCACCACTGGATTTTCAAGAAAAATCTTGTCTTGATATGTCCCAAAAAAGGCCGGTCCAAATTAGACATACTTTGGTCAAATGACTAAACACGGAGCACACGAACTGTAATGTTCCTTCATTAGTTCAGGATAAGACCTTCCGTATTTTCCTTCTTGCAAATACAAGGTCAGCAAACTCTCTGTTTTCCAAGTGAAATGCAATTGTACCTCTTCCCCAACTATAGGGGTTTTCGTGCATTTCATACATGATTTTTATTCAGTTGGATATATATACATATATATTAAAAAAAACAGTATAAGTACAAAATTTGTGTAAAACCAACTATTGAGTCTAAACAAAGATCAAAAAATTTCTACGTCCTTCAAGATTGCAACATTGCAGACAATGGGACAAATTAGAAAAGAAAAATTCCCTCAAATAATGATGGAAAGGAAAAAAAAATAATGTCATCAAATCATAGGGAAAATTAGAAAGGAAACATTTTCCACAAATAATTGCATACTCTATACCCTCTCATGAAATAATAATTTAAAATACAGGCAACTCTCTCATGTATAACATGATATTCAATACATTCCCTTCTCATATGCTCCTCCTCCTTAGACCTTAACATAAATGAAAAAGAGGTTGCGGACACAAGAGGTCAATAAATATTAAAAATGAAAAAATATATATTTATAGACCTGTTTACTCTGACTATGTCTGTCTATAGGATGAAATGATGTCGCTCCCTCAAGCTCAATTGTCTAGAGCATCTCTCTAATTGTCACATATTTAAGACTTTTATTCAGCTTAAATCCTGTTATCAGATTGAACATCCACCCTCGAAATATTGGAAACCATAGATAAGTTTGGTCAAGGACCAGCAAACAACTCATTTGGATCGCTATCAAAAGTAAATTTCAATTAAAAAAAAAAGAGAAGAATCCAAATCAATGTTCTGTCCTAGGCATACACATTATATATTTTCTATGGGTATTTAATAGGTTAAGAGAAAACTCCTTTAAAGGAAAATGTTGATATCACTTCGCCCTCGCAGAGCAAAAAAAACTTAAGAAAAAGATAATGTAGGACCAGAGTCACCTGTGGAATAACTACTGCTAAGTTCAAGACACCCACGGACAACCCTGCAAGAAGCAACGCCATAATAAGCAACTCCATAGTTCCTCATTCAAAGAAAGCAACATCAATCCAATCCCCACCTTGACCAAGTTGTAAGGATTCAACACGTGAGCAGATCATGGCATACGGAACACTGTAAGTAATCTGCAATGAATTATTCCAACAAATCAATAATAGTGATGCATACATGGACATCCAATGTGCATTATCACAGACTGATAAATTTTATATTGACTAACTTTTCCAGATACAATATGATATACAAGTGAATTTTATCCCTGAAATCTCTGCATTGTTATGTACTTTTAGTATTCTTTGTGCTAAGACGAGAAAGGATGAGGCAGAAAGAAGTAAGATATAACACATGCAACCACATTTATACGACGAAGGAGCTGCTTACTGCCAAAGGAGCGCCAAGAAGGGCAAAGATAATCAATGCAGCTGATACGATACTATTTGGTGGGAAATCATGGCCTATATAGCCCATATTTTTTGCCACATACGTAAGAACCAGCATAGCAAGGAAACATAGAGCCATAAAAATATTAGAAATTCCCCATACAAAACCAGCACCCCACTTTCTGCACAGCTTCTCCATAAGTAATGAAGTTATTCCAAGGACGACAGAATTCAACATCAGACCAAATGCTCCCATTCTGACTCCAGAGTTATAACTCTGTCCTTCATTTGGCTTGCCACCATAAATCTCTCTACCCATCCAATCAGTATCAAAGAGAGTAAATGGAAACCATCCTATCCATGTGAGGGAAGTGACAAGCAAAATTACCCACATATACCCTGAAAAGTATCTAAAAGTCCGAAACAACTCCCAGAGGAAAGCTTCTGAAGCATGATTTGACTGCCCCATACCTTCTTCCACAACCAGGGAGGACCTGTCACTTGAATCTAGAGGCAACTCTTGAACAGCTGATACACTCAAGTATGTTGTAATTGCAATGAACACAATATCAATCAAGAAAGCTGACTTGAGATTTGCACAATTAACAGAACACGCATTGGTAAGAGTAAACGGCAAAATCTTGTACCAGCCACTAAAAGATCCTGTCGCATATCCAAAAACATTACCAATAGCTATAAATAGAGAAAAATAAGCATTTGCCACTCGATTCCTCCGATGATCCTTACCTAGAACAATATTATTTTGAAAAACATAAGTGTCATCACAACATAAGAGGTTTCTTGGATTTAATTGAACGTGCCATAGCCACAAGCAGGTACCATGAATGCTTTTTAATGAGGAGGGGGCCTTGATTGTGTATTAACATGCATCCGAAGAATACTAAGTGCCAACCAATTTTTTAATATTACTCTCCATCAAGAGTCAGGGTATATTAATTCAGACACGTAAACTAGCCTCCTGGCATGTCAGCACGTACCAGTTGTTCTTGCTCAAGTCCATCTATATGGGAGAACTAAAACCAAATTACAACAATTTTGCCTTTTTTATATAATTGTGGGTGTAAAGGGCCAACTGATCCCACAAAAAAATTGTTTCACCCTAAAACATTAGACACCAAACACCCGAAAGGACATTTAATTTCCCGCATAAATGATCACACTGATATAAACTATAACTTTAAACGCATTTAAGACTTACAGAACTTGTCCTTTGACAACGAATAACTGCCCGTTTGTCAGTTTACAACAACTACTAATTTACCATTACAGAAAACTTTTCTATTTTCTTGCTACAAGAATAACTTGTTAAAACCTTTTGATCGTGATTGGCACAGTTTAAGAATTTAAACTCTCTTGGTTTTATGTAATCACGATTTCTTCCACTAGTTTTTCGACTATATAATGTATAATATGACAAGTGAGGGAGCTTAGACAAATACATTACTCACCTTATTGCATGAATTGGTGGCAAATTACTTCTTTAAATTGGAAGGCACGAATAATTTAGGGAGAATGGTAAAATATGAACACGAACAGTTGAATCTAAACACTTTCAACAGAAGAACCCGTAAAAACGGAATCATAGACAAACAGAGATATCAAAGTTCAAAAGTTATACCAAACAACTTACCGGTAAGATCGGCGAGCAGAGCTCTACAAGGACCCTGTGAGAAGTTGTTAGCCACGTCCAGAAGCCAAAATCCAACCACAAAGAATCCAATCGCACGATGCCTAACACCACCTCTGTCTCCAATCAACCAACCGAGGTCCGCCGAGTGACCGATTATCAAAACGGCGATTACGATGGAAACTGCTCCAGCGACGATGAAGGGCCTCCGACGGCCATGTCGGCTGGTGCAGCGATCGCTCATGTGGCCAGCCAGCGGCTGCACGAAGAGGCCGGAAAGCGGTCCGCAGAGCCATATGAGACTAGACCAAGCATGAGGAATACCGAGCTCTTGAATATAAGGAGTCAGAAGAGAGAGCTGCAAAGCCCAACCGAATTGAATTCCAGACGCCACAGATGCCACGCGGAGTAACCGTCTTAGCGGAACCCTAGCTCCTGCTACCGGCCGAATCGCCGGTCCATGCGGTCGACGAGACACAGTCCGGTGGCGCTCCGATGACTCCGGCATCACCATTTCTCCGTCTAGATAGCATGCAATTTGCGGCACTCTCTCCCTCTATCTCACTCTCTCCCTCTCTCTATCTCTAACTGTACGCCGCGATTCCTCGAACGCAGAAGCCGGAGGGAAAGGTGGCGGTTCCTGTCCGCTTCAGAAATCAGAACCAACAACCGAAACTGCCCCTACGGTATTCAAATAAATTACGGGCACCGCTTCCAAAAAAAAAAACAAAAGGAAAAGAAAAAAAGCGGGAAATCAAGGGAATCATTAAGTAATAACTACACATAAGTTTGTTATTAATTTCAATTCCTCCTCTTTTTCCTCCCATTTAATCCTTTAGAAAATAACTAAGATATTTTTAAATATTGAGCTGTATTCATATTAGCGTAATTCTAATAATTTAGATGAGTTGAGTTAAAATGGTGCAACCTAAATAGTTATGATTTGGAAAGATGAATTTAGAGGTGGGAGATGAGCCACTCACTCAAGTAGATTTATGGGATGAGAGGCGTGAGCTAAGTAGTTAATTCACAAGTAGCTTTCATAACCAATAGGGCCTATATAGAAAAGAAATGTTGCACACTAATGCGGTATTGACCAAACACACTTTGATATAATTAAATTTGGTATGGGACTAAGCCAAGGTGAAATTGCGTATTTTCAAGTGAAGTATCATGCCTAATTATCGTTTCTAGGAATATGACAATGTCGACTTTTTTGATATCGATGTCCACCTCAAAGAGTCGAGCTGAGGTACAGCTTTATTCGACCATATGTATTGTTGAGATGTAAGTTCCACTAGTCAGCTTATCCTTAATCATCATATTCATTCCTTCAAGAGAATATTGTTAGCCTAAGCTCTTATAGTCAACTCATTCATACTCATTCCTCTAAAAAAGGTCTCGCCAGCATGAAGAATTATTATGGTCAGATCATCCATATAACACACCTCATATAATGTTAATTAATTTTGTGTTATCTAACCATAATTATATTTGTTTCATAATGTAATCAATATTTTTTTTGAAATACATAACGTAATCAATATGAACTTGATTTATTAATCGAACATGATTTATTAATTAATATATTCTTATCTTTTCTAAATATCATGAGTTCAAATCTTTACTCTAATGTAGTAATCTAATAATTTTTTATTTTTTATTTTTATTTTTTTTTATCTCTTAGAGGATGGTACAGTAACAAAGACTTTAGGGCCTTGTAATATCATCTATCACGAGGTCTTATGTTCGACTTTGTACTTAGTGTTGACCAGCTCAAATAACCACAGCATCGATTTTGGAACATAAAACACAAAGGAAAAGAAAGAGATAGAGTATTCTAGTAACATTTTAATAAAACGTTCCTGGTTTATTTTGCCCTTTTTACTTTGGGTAGGAAGTGGAATGGTTGAATGCTTGCTTCCACCTTCTTTTTCTTTTTATAAAGTGAAAGCTGATATTTTTAGATTTTGTGTACTTTTTGTTTCATGACTATATTACTTTGTGATTTGCTTAATTTCATACTATATTATTTTGTGAGCTATAAGTATACATTTAAAATTTAAACTTCCAACTCTCAACGCATGTTTGATAAATTTTTGAAATCATATATTTAATTTAAAGTTTATGCACCATTCAAAATACAAACTATATCAACTTAGATATTATAATTCCAGTGTATTTGATGTATAATTTAATTTATATTTTTCGTGCATTGTTTTTCCTTTGAGAGTAATATAGTTGTTTGATATAACTCAATATATTTTTAGTTTTCTAAGTTTTAAAAATATGTATGTAAGATTTTGAACCGAGAGAAAATAAGTCTCCATTTCAATCACTTATTAGGCATAAAATTAAGATTTAAGAGACTTATTAGATACTAAAATGTCCTGGTTAAACATATAAATTAATCTTTTTTTTAGGGAAAATTTTTCGATCTTTAATCTAAATTTTTAATTTTAATGTATTGCCTCCTAAACTTTAGATAAATGTTGCAATTTAAGATGCAATTTTAGCTTCTAATAGATTTTTATTTGAGTAATTAATAAACAAAAGTATTTTAACATGCATTCAATGAATTATAATAAGTAGGGTATCAAATTGATAAAATTTTTAGTGAAAAACAACCTTATAATTGATTTTTTTTGCATTGAAATATGTGAGTTTTGAGAGAATTATACACAATGGTCTATTTTGTGCATTGATGAAATTTATCTATAAACTATTATATGACTTCTCTCCTATCGTTCTCCCTAACCTTTCTATCTCTCATTCTACCTCTATGGCTCTATATTTGATTTTTATTCTTAAAAAGAACTATAAAAGATATATAATACATTTATTATAAAAGAATGCAATCGAATATAAAATTTATAAATCCATGGAGGAAACGTAAAGTCAATAAAAATGAATTTTAAAAGACAGAATAAAGTGAGTGAGAGAGACTTGGCTTAGTAGACAAGCAAATTGCTAGCTTGCTTTGCTTCTCCCTTCTTGGATCCTTTTTTTAAAAATTATGTATTTTAAAAGAAAATCACAGAAATGGAACAATTTTGAAATTATTTACAAAAGTGGATAGCTTAGTCACGTAGAATCAATACAATTCGAGGTAAATCATATGCATCATATGTGATTTCGACGTAAATCATTTCATATGGTGCGCTTTTTAAGATGTACGTGATTTACAATGTAAGTAGTTCCCGTTGAACTAGCGTTACATAGAGTGGAAGGATAAATCATGTGATTGTCCGAACACACAAGTTCTCGTCGACTCAACTCCTGTGTAATGTACACAAGTTCGGTGGGTCTGAAACTAAACAAAAAATTTATATTATATAACACATCGCACCTGATTTAAGTTAAATAGTGTATATTGCATGTGATTTACCTGTTAACTCACCTCTGCACTTCACACATCAGACCATATGGATACTCTTAAATTGTGTTGATGGATGTTATTGTCGCTGGTTTTTTTTCTTTTTTTATCACCAATTTGTAGTTTGTTTTTTAAATTATATTATTCTTGACATTTACCCTCTCCTTTACCTTTCTTTTTGGGGAATTTTCTAATTTCCCTCTTAAGGCCAGACAGGCTTGTGCGATGGACCAGCGGCCCACTACCAAAAACGAGAAGAATGGCCCTTTCGATAAATTTGGGCCGTCAGCCCAATAACATTGCCAGCGGTGGCAGTCTCATCCAGACGCCACGTCATGCTGAACATTCTAAATTTAAATTTAAAAATTGTGCAACGAACAAAACAACAATTGCCGATGCCGAATGCCGAATGCCGACCGATCCACCGTTTGGACGGAATAATGGTTTTTAAAAATGAATATTACTAGAAATAAAACTATTTTTTAAAATATTTAAACACAAATTGATTTTAAAAATAATTCTCCATTAAATTTTCGCTCATGTGTTGTCATTGTCACTTCTTGAAGAACGATAAATAAGCAAAGAATTTAAAAGAGTATTATTTTTAATTTAATTTAAGTTTATAATATTTTAAAAAATAGTTATATTTTTAATAACGTTTTAAACAAAAATCAAAATGGATTAGAAATATTTTGGATTCTATTTTGATTTAGTATTTTAGTTTTAGTTCAATATCAATACTAAACTCAGAGAAATTACATTAAAATTAAAGAGAATTTGAATTAGACTGCTCCTCTAATTAACTTTTTTTAAATAATTCGTGTGAATTGAATAATAATCTAATTCACTAATTATTATAATTGACTTGATTAATGATCAAGTTAAAAGTTATAATTAAGATTTACTTATTTATCAAGAAAGTTCTTCTAGTAAAAAATTTCATGTGAACTTTTGAACTTTTGTTAAATTAGTTTCAGTATCCGTTTAGTATTTAAAAAAGAAAACTAGAAATTTAAGGGAAATCAATAATTTTAACCCAATAACTACTTAAAAACTAAAATTGGATAAACAATTATATAACACACCATTTGCAATGATCAAACTCTTTATATATAGTATACTTGCTAATCAAGCTAGTACCTGTAAGTAAACAGTGAAGGAACGACAGACAACATAGATACACATACGTCATTCAATCCATTAAGTCAAAGTTTGTACGAATATATATATTTTTTAATTGTATCGGATATGCTTAAATAAAATAATATGTTAAAAATAAAAATGTATATGGTTAGTTAACATTAAATATTAAATATTTTCCACTAATCTAAATATGGCTCTTTTAAGATATTTATATTCGACTTGAAGGTTGTAAGTTCAAATCTTCCAATCTTACGTATTATATTTAGAGAAAAAAATCATTGAATATTTTAATTGGCAATGAAGAGTAAAATTATCGAATCAATTGTACCTTTTAAGTTGGTCCAAGTTATAGAAAATCGGCAAGTGAAAGACAAGCCAAACAACATTTCACCTTTCAACCGACCTTCATCAGGTATGAATCGACCTTGAAGAGCACTAGCAGGCGTGAAAGCAACGAGGATGTTTTCCAACAACACGTCATGTTTCCTGAACAGTCGGGGAACTGTTGAAGTGCTGTCAGAAGCCTTACGTGAAAGTATTCTCTCTAGAGCAATAGATCGGATTGTGCACTAACAAAAACGTCGAAGTGCTAGGTCTGTTTTATAAGTACTTCGAGCTTTGGTACACCCATTCGAGTTTCTTAGATATGAGCTTAGTCTGATTTTACACTCAAAAACATATATATTTACATGTGGATAAAGACAAATATTTTCCATCAAACTTATTTTTTTAGTTGAATTAATTAAGACAAATTCCCATTCCAAATTAATCAATTGTTCTCTAAATCATAGAAGTTTGAAAAACCTGCTATCCAATTTGAATTCAATCAATTAAGATACGTATTTTCAATTAAGAAAACGTGAGCTCAGTGCTAAAAAAAATTAGCAATATTGATTAAGAATGCAAAACAAAGTTTTATGCTTCTTAGAACTTAATTTAGTTTTATATTCCCCTTCCTGATTGTTCCAAGTTTCAACAAAACACCACCGCCATTGCCGTACCCACACGGCGCCAATTTATTCCGATTATAAATAGCCAACCAGAAGCACCTCCCCTGTTCCTGGACAGGAGACCGCACCCCTAGCGCCGCCGCCGCGCCGCCGCGAACAATGGCACAGCCACCGCACCCTGTTATCGACAATTTCGGGAACTTCTACCAATCCTGGCTGGCCGGCCAGCAATCCTTCCTCCAACAGCTCCTCCAATCGGCCGCACTGCCCGCCAACGACAAGGAAGAGGCTCAATTGCGATTAATCAACCAAATCCTGGCCCACTACCAGCACTACTACGAGGAGCTCTCCAAGGCTGCCGGAGAAGACGTCTTCCGCGCCTTCTCCGCCCCCTGGCTCACCCCCTTCGAGAGGACGCTGCTCTGGATCGGCGGCTTCAAGCCCTCCATCGTGCTCCGGTTGCTGGATGCCGCGGTCAAGGACTTGGCGCCGCCGCAGAGGGCCCGGCTGGAGGAGGTGAAGGCGGAGGTGCGGCGGAACGAGAGGGATCTGACGGAGGCGATGGCGAGCCTGCAGGAGATGGTGGCGGCGCCGCCGATCGAGGCGCTGGCGCGGCGGGCGGGGAGGGTGATGGATCGGGAGATTTGCGAAATGGAGGGCGCGATTGAGGAGCTGAAGACGGCGATGGTGATGGTTTTGAATAGGGCGGATGGGGTGCGTGGATCGGCGGTGATGAAGGTGATGGAGCTTCTGGATCCCGATCAGAGGGTGAGGCTTCTGGCGGCGGCGGCGGAGTTTCAGCTCAGAATCAGAAGATGGGGCGTTCACAGAGAACAACGCCATAATCGTGAATCGTGATGCCCTTCTAATTTCACTATGGTGGGCCCACACAGTAGGCCCACTTCCGAGTTCTTATAGTGAAACTAAATTCCAAAATAAAAAATAAAAAAGAAAATAAAAATTAGGTTGTGTCAGTGTCACTTGTGTTTASAAACACTGTTGTGTTGTCGTCTGATTTTAGGGAAGAAAAAAAAAAAATATATATATATATATATAGTTTTTTTGTATTTAGAATTTGTTCGTCATGTTTTAGTTTTTAAAGGCAGGGTTTAAGGTATTTTATTTTAGGTGTAATTTGGTTTTAATAGTTTTATGTCAGTTACATGTATGTGTTTTTTTAAGTATAATGACTCAGGACTAAACTAAATTATTAAAAGAAATTAAGTATATTATATTGAGTTAATTATTTCAATATTGAAAAATTTGAATAAGTGTATAATGTAGGCAATAAAAATGGGATTAGTCTCTGAAATTGGTATTGCTCTTAAAGATCAAACTTGGGTGATGTAATTAAATATTTGAAGAGGCTTCAAAACCCACTTGGATTATTTTTTCTGAGTTGTGAAAGAAATCGAATTACAAATATCTGTTTGAAGTTAATATTTTTAGTGTAAGAGGTGATTGTTTCCCTGCTCACATTTTCACATTTTCTTAAAGTTCATAAAAAGTTTGAAAATTTGCATAGGTTGATCTTAAAAAAAGGTCTAATGTATCATCATTCTAAAGTCTATGATTGCCTATTAATGTATTTAGTTAATAGCAGCGGAGTCACTAAGGCAAGAACCACTTGGACCCTTCCCCCCCTCATACCTCGACATTGAATGCTGATGTGCCTTGGCCAGAGAATCTGCAGGCAGGGGGTTAGGTGGATCTTGCATAATTAGGAATGTGTCATTATCCTTGCAAGCAACCGTTTCATGGATAACTATAGAAGTGTGAAGATGTTGGAAGTTATTGATGTTCTGGAAGGGATGCGAAATCTATAGTTTATGGTATCTTATCCTATTTAGATGGAGACTAACTCAATAGAGGTGGCTAAGTTGTTGCAAAGGAATGCGATGATCTTATTGAAAAAACGTGGGTAGTCAAAAAAAGTTTACCTGTAACGTCATCTCTTTTAATAAGGTGAACATGGATGATAATTTTTGTGTCCACTATCTTGTAGGGTTTTCGATTTAGAGTAGAGTGTAGGTTGGATTTTTTGTATTTGTGATTGGTTGGCCCTTATGACGAATCAGGACTTAATTTCTTCTTAGTAAAAGTTTATTCGTTTTCCATTATATATATATATATATATATATATAATAGTAATAATTATATTAATTGAATAGTATTTCAACTAATGCATATAAATTAGATTTTATTGTCTTTCTATTTAGTACAACACATGAGCTTATTATTGAAAATAAATGTCTAAATCAATGGTTCTATTGTCAATTTTTTTACTTCTTAATTATAAAAACTAAAGATTTCATTGGTTTTTTTTATACAAAGGGTGGGGTGGGAGAATTTTAGTTCCAAATAGTTGGATTTGTGAGGATTTTAAGTTTAAACTGAAGAAATTCTGATCTTGTCGTACTTTGGTGAAAAAAAAATACGTATCATTCCAACCTCCTTTGCACATATCATCAACTCAATTAGTTTCAAATTTTGATTTGTCCGTTTTTTTTTAATTCTAATAACTATAAACTGACTCTCCTTATATAATTTTTTTCATCACCATTCAAACAAAATAAGGTTGATTTTCTATTTTGTTTTTGGTAGGTTTAATTTTCCTTATAGTTTAGATCTTTGT